GGTTACAACACTGGGACTGGACTACAAAGCTGCCTCAGCCTCTTCCTTGGGGATTTACATTTTCTGGATTCAGACACGTAGCTTCCACAGAGGCAAGATTAGGCCTTGGCTGGATTTCAGCCTTTTTGCCTTCAGTGCATGCTGGCACACTGCCCCAGTTTTTCTCTTGACTCTCATAATTTTCTTCTCTGGCTAGGCTAAATAAATCCTTACCCCTTATTTTATAGGAGGACTATGGGGAGGGTTCACTCTGTGCCCAGGGATTCTCTAACCTAAGGGTGACTATAAGTAGAAAGCAGACTAATTCTCCCTATGCTCCTTCTCACCTGGCTGGACAGAAGCAGAATCTGCCTTGTGGAGAGTTGGGAAGGGGTACCAGCAGTCTCTACTGCAGGAGGTCTTTTGTTGGGTTATGGAAGCTGGTAGGGAAGGGATGTTGAGTGAGTTCTTTAAGAATTATGTTTTCTGGTGTTAACTGATAAGATTTGTTGGGGTTCTCTTTTGTCCTGTGGATTCAGCTGAACTTTCTCTGTGGCACAAAATTCCTCTTCTGGGTGTGGGTTTGGGGTGTGTGTGTGTGTGTGTGTGTGTGTGTGTGTGTGTAAGCGAGGATTGAGGAAAATGCCTAGTCTGTCATCTCATTGGAAACACAACCAGAAAATCACTCTATCCTTTTTAGTTCACAGCCTTGTTACCTTTTGACTAGATTTTCACTTCAAGTCTCTCCCTGCACCAAGATAACCCTATATACTCCTGACAAACTACTTTTCCTTAAATACATATCTGACCATGTGACCATCTCACTCAATCAACTCCTGTGATTTCCTATAGGAAGCTTACACTGCCCCTAGGATAAAAAATAAACTCTGTTTAGCTTTTAAAGGCTTTACAATCTGGTCCCATCTTACTTTACCTTTCCAGATTCACTGGACATTATTACTCTTCCCATACATTGCGATACAACCAAATTGGACTTATTTCTGTTCCTTATACATGCCTTTGCTTTGGTCATTCTATGTGACATGAATGCTCTCATTCTTTAACTCTACCTTAAAGAGTCCCCCCTTTTCCTTTCAAACATCGTCTTCTGCATGGTGATTTGCTGATCCCACAATGGTTAGTACTCTTTTCCCCCAAACTATCTTAAATTGATTGTATTGAGATAGCTGGTGGTACAGTTGATAGAGTGCTGGGCCTGGAGTTGGGAAGACCTGAGTTCAAATCAGGGTTCAGACATTTCCTAGCTGTGTGACTCCAAGCAAGTCATTTAACTTCTATTTGCCTCAGTTTCCTCAATTGTGAGAATGAGGATAATAACAGCATTTACCTTTTAGGATTATTGTGAGGATCAAATAAGATAATATTTGTAAAAGTGCTTAGCACAATGCCTGGCACACAAAAGCACTATATAAATGTGTATTCCCTTTCCCTTCCTCAATTAATACCAATATGTATTTATATTTATTAACTTAATATTTGTTAAATTTCCATATATGTTGTTTTCACCCATCAGAAATGTGAGCTCCTTATGAGCGGGATTATCTTCCTTATTTTATTTGTATTCCTAGCATTTAGCACAGTGCTTTGCATAAAGTATTTAATATATGCTTTGTTCATTCATTCATTCATTCATTCATTCATTCATTCATATTTTTCTGTATTTACTTTTCTGTGTTCTTTTCTCCCCATTAAAATGTAAGTTCTTTGTAAGTAGAGATAGTTTCACTCTTCATACTTATATTTCCAACACCTAGCACTTTGCCTGAAATACAGTAGGCACTTAGTAAGTACATGTTGGCTAACAGAATGATTTCTACTTTCACTGCCATCACCCTAGCAAAGGGCCTATTGCTTTCTTTCTTTCTTTCTTTCTTTCTTTCTTTCTTTCTTTTTTTGAGGAATAAAGTGTCTTTAATTGAGATAACAGGGTAGGAAACATACTACCCTGAAGGATGTTCCATGAGTGCAGAGCACAATGGATTTCCCAGCTCTTAGACCCATGCAAAAGCTTCTTATAGGGAAGATGTAACAGAAGAAGGCAGAAAGGCTTGGTCATGAGATCCCAGCAGCCCTCAGCAAGGAAATCTACTTCATTCTGTTTGTTGTTGGGTTTTTTTTTCACCTTTAGACTTTTATTTCCTACTACAAGAAATAATGCAAAAATCTTCACTTTAAATTCTCTGAGCTACTTTAAATTCTCTGAACTACAGTTCTTCAGTCCATAAAAATTTTTTTTACCCCCTTTCCCAATCTGCCCTACTCTCTTGTCCCCTTCTCCCCCCTATTTTCCTGTAGGGTAAAACAGATTTCCATACCCAATTGAAAAAAAAAAAGACATGATCAGATTTTTTCCCTCCATAAGCCAAATCCTATGAGAATAAGATTCACTCATTTCCTCTCACCTTCCCCTGTTTTCCCTCCACTGTAACAGCCTTTTCTTTTCTGCTTTTTTTTGTGAGATAATTTACCCCATTCTTCCTCTCCCTTTCTTCTTCTCCTAGTATAATCCTCTCTCATCCCTTAATTTTATTCTCCAGATATGACCCCTTAATCTTCAACTCACCCTGTGCCCTCTGTCTGTCTGTCTCTCTATCTATCTACCTATCTATACATACATAGATATAATTTTTTCCCTCCAACTACCCTAATACTGACAAAGGTCTCAAGAGTTACAGATATCATCATTCCATGCAGGAATGTAAACAGTTCAACCTTAATAAGTCTCTTATGATTTCTCTTTGCCTATTGCTTTCTAATAAGCTTTCTTCTTCCAGTCTCTGCTTCTTTTAATTCATTCTAAAAACACGTGCAACTTTCATCTTTCTTATATAAAAATCTGATCATGTTGTTCTTTGTTGTTGTTATTTAGTTGTTCAGTTGTGTCTGACTCCTAGTGGCTCCATGGGCCATAGCATGTAAGGCCCTTCTATCCTTTACAGTCTCCTGAACTCTGTCCAAGCTCATATTTGTTGCTTCCAACTCATCCTCTGCTGTCCCCTTTTCCTCTTGACTTAAATCTTTCCAACATCAGGGTCTTTTCCAACAAGTCCTGTGTTCTCAATATGCGGCCAAAGCATTTAAGCTTCAGCTTCTATATTTGACCTTCCAGTGAATAGTCTGAGTTAATTTAAGTACTGACTGATTTGATCTCCTTGCTGTCCAAGGAACTCTCAGAAGTCTTCTCCAGCACCACAATTCAGAAGCGTCAATTCTATAGTACTCAGCTTTCCTTACAGTCCAATTCTCAAGGCCATACGTTGCTAGTGGAAAAACTATGCTCTTGACTACCTAGGCTTGGTTGGCAAGGTGATGTCTCTGATTATGTTCATGTTGTTCCTCCAGCCAAATCTCTGCAAGGGTTCCCTATTACCTTCTGACTAACATCGAAATCCATAGCCTACCACAGTCCTTTTTTATGTAACCTTATTCTGACAAACATTTAAAAATCAAACAAATACATACAGTATAAAACAATATTGAGGGAGAAACAATAACGTGGTAAGAACACAAAAACAGATCTAACTACAAGTCATTGATCAATAAAAGAATACCATTACTATTTAAAGTAATCTAGAAATAGTTAATGATAAACATATATAAAATGTCATCTAAATATATAACAATAAATATAATAAAAATAACAATTATTTATTTCTCTCTTCAGTAAGAGACAAACATGAACTGACTCCTTTTGGTAATAAATATATTTATCATCCCCAGAAGTGGCATGTCAAACAGAAACATGTCTGTTCCATTTTACAGTGTCATGGACCACCAGTTTGCATATCATTTGACAATACTTCCCCCAGTTTCATTCATGACAATACAGGTTCATCGCTAAGATTTTACCCTCTAAGAGCCTCCAAAATCAATGCATTAAAACATCTTAAAGGCTTCTTAAGGCAGATGCTGGACTGCCATTTACTATTTATATATATATTTTTGCCTGCTTGACCTGCAGCAAAGGCAGTATAATGATTTTCATAATGTCTATGATCATAGATACCGTAGTTTTTGAATCTAAAAAGCACCAATTTTGGCCAATGGAAGGGTCTTTTCCTAACTAGAAACTGATTGACATCAGTCTCAGTGATGAGGCACTCGAATGGCCTTCACCGACTGATTCAGTGTAGTGCTGGCTATGAGTATAGCATTGCTCAAGTGATGATGATGGTAACACAAAATACTTCAGCCAAAATGGCTACTAAGTTCTGAACATGTCTTATACTATGCCTCTTCCAATCCTTTACTCACAGCATTCTTATATGTGTGGTATCCTGCCTTTCATCCCCAATTGCTAAAGTGATATACATCTTTCAAAAGCTAGATCAAAGGTGACCTCCTGTATGACTTGCTGAATGGTATCCCTCCCTACTTATTTACTTACACACACACACACACACACACACACACACACACACACACACACACACACACACACACACACACGGAAGGGTCCCTCCTCCCTCTTATCAGAAATGATATTTTTCTCTTTGGCATGGTTAGCACTTTGCACTTACTTTATCGTAAGCTATTCTATATTCAAGTTATTTATGTATGTGACCCATCTCCATTTAGATCGTGAGCTCCAGGAAGGATTTAGACCAGGGGTGGGGAACGTAGAGCCTTGAGGCCACATGTGGCCCTCTAGGTCCTCAAGTACAGCCCTTTGACTGAATCCAAACTTCAGATAACAAATCTCCTTAATAAAAGGATCTGTTCTGTAAAACTTCAATTCAGTCAAAAGGCCGCACCCAAGGACACAGCAGGCCACATGTAAACTCGAGGCCACAGGCTCCCCACCCCTGATTTAGACCATTACTTATCTTTGTACTTCTCCAAAATATAGAAGAATGCTGTGCACACAGTAGTTTCATATTAATACATGCCTGATGAAGTGAATAACGATGTCTTAATAGGAAGAAAAGTTAGACACATCTTTGTTTACTGTGGAAAACACTATGCCATTTTGAAAGGGTGTTCTATCTTGATTCTAGTACCTTTAGAAGCTCCTTTAGGATAGCAATGAAACATCTCTGTGCATCTATTTCTTGGTGATGATTTAATAATACAGCATATTTCAGATGCAGTGCATTGAGCCTGAAAAAGAAAAAAAATATATAGTATGGCTTATTCCAGATGTCTTATTTCTTTAAGTTGCTTTAGTTCTGCTACAAAACAAATATTATTCCCAAGTCACAGCTTGCATATGAAGAGATTAGAAACAGAGAAAATGAATGGTTTAATGTGGTTATAACATAAATATGTTCTACTTAGAATCAAATACTGGACAATTTTAATTTCCATTCTGTGTTCATTTCATCAGGCAACTCCACCTCTGAGGAAGAATAATCCCTTGAATATTAAGTTATGTGTTCCAGAGAATTCCTTCACTTAAGAGTCAGTAACTCTTCAGGTCTAAGAAGCCAAGTTTCTGATCTGACTGTGCACCTATGTGTTAGGAATAGGATTGGTGGGAGAAAAGGATAGTAGTAGTCATAAAGAAGAGCTGCCTTCTATAGTCTTTAAAGTTCACACAAGACTATATGTGAATTATGTAATTTGATGCACAACTTTGTGAGGCAAAGCAGCACAAATATTATTATTTAAAAATTTGCCAATGAGGAAACTGAGGCTCAGAAAAGTTCAGTGACTTACCTAAGGTGACACAGTGTCAGTGCTACATAGGATTCGAACCTATGTTTTTCCTGACTAAATCTAACCTTCTTTATACTACACTCAGGAGCCATTAGGGAAGTTCTTCTTTGCTCAGAGTGAAGTCTCAGATGTAATTCATCAAATGGAAATCTATTCATATTAAAAGCTGCTTTCAAAATATAAATATGCTTAGGGGAGGAGGGCTAAACTCATCAGTTATTTCTGTATTAGTCTAAATTGTCAGACTGCTCCCTTCATAGTTGAGGTTACCAACTGAAAGAATGAAATTCTGTTCAGAAGTAGTATGGAGGGTAAATTTAAAGGACCTGGGCACATGAGTGACATGCCAATATGGTAGATTATAAAAAATTAATAATTTTAGATAGCCAAAGGGCGGCATAGGGACACTGATTACTACTAAGTAGTAGAAAGATATAGAAAAGGAGGTGGGATGACTCTAGGGACATCACCCACTTCGCCTAGTTTTAGCAAGGTCTTGAGTGATAAAAACACAAGGGTAACAAAGTAATCATTATCAAAGTTTTTTTTTTAATTTTACTGTATTATACCATTGATCTACAAAGTTGGGGGCCATGGCCTGACGCCCAAGTTGAATGAGATAAAACAATTAAAAGGTGAGATGACAAGCAGTAATACAACCCTGACCCACAGTGATCAATCATGGACTATGGTGCAATAAAACCACGCCTACACTTTCACATTGGCCATGTACAAAAATTTATGTCTCTGCACCCTAAATACCTCATTGGTCCTCTGGAATTGTGGCTGCTTATTATATGTTCTCAGACTTGTCTTTATGGTGTTGTTGTTATTATATAAATCATTCTTCCGGTTTACCTCACTTCACTCTGTTTTTCTAGTTTTTTCTGAACTGATTGTCTTTATCATTTCTTAGAGCACCAAATATTCCATGATATACATTTACTATGCTTTGTTCATCCATTCCACAATGGAGGGGTACCTCTACCCTCACTCCCCACTGAATACAGAAGAAAAAAATTATACCCCCTCCCCCAAACAATTCTTGCACCAATTTAATTTTTAATGCCTAAAAAACCCACCACATTTCTCAGGCCCTCATCATCTCTCACACCTAGACTACCATCTACATCTCCTAGCTTCTAATTTTCCCCACTTTCCAATTTGTTTAACACTCAGTATTCCTAAATCATAGGTCTGACCATATCATTCTCTTGCTCAAAAACTTTGTGGGGCTCTTTATTATCTCCAAGATGAAATATAAACACCCTGACGTTAAAGTCCTTCACAATCTGGTTCTAAATGACTTCTCCAGACTTAGTTCATACTCATCCACCTCATGAACTCTAATCACTCTAGTAAAACTGGATGATTATTTACTCTTTAAACACCACAGGTCCTCTACTGCTCTGCACATTCATACAGACCATCTCCTGTGCCAGCAATGCACTGGTTCTTCATTGTAGGAAGCCTTAACTTTTTTCAAGAGTTAATCCATGTGTCACCTCCTCTATGAAGCCTTGTTTCAGCTACCTTGTGGCTAATATTTTCCAGAATGTAAGTTCCCAGAAGGTAGGGAATCTCTGGTTTTGGTTTTTATACCTTCAGTGACATTGTGGGCCCACAATGTTTCTTCTCTATTGCCTTTCAGACCACTTGAAACTTAATTTTTTTTGAGTAAAAATTGGAACAATGTAAGTCACTGAAAAATGTATAACTTGAGAACATTTGATGGTCATATATTGAAAGTGAGGGATGAAACACAGTCTGAATGCTTCACTTGACTCAACATCCACAGAATGCAAAACAAAAACCTTTAGAAAGGACTCCTATCTCTTGGATTAGACATCTATAATGGGAAAACTTGGCCAACAATATTCAGGATGAAATGGCATTAGTATGTTAAAATCTATACTGATGGAGGTAATATCCATGTTGACGGCATCATAAAGCAACTGTCATAATAAAATTATGATTTATGTACCCAGCATGTGGCACAGTGCTTTGCACATAGCAAGCACTTCATATATAAGGAATTACTGAACTGAAGGAATAAAAGGAAGAAACTCCTTAAAGACAGACCCTTCCTGGGTCATAACTGATAGCTCATTTTACTGGGTCATATTTTTTCCATAAACAGTAAACTAACAGACCCTTCTATTTTTTCCTGAAAAGTACCAATTAAATTTCCCAGCTCTTGGCAGCTTGATGAGTTAATGGCAAAATGATAGATCAAAGCTAGAAAGATCCTTACAAACCACCTGGCAATACCCACTTATTTCAATAAGTGAGAAACAGAACCCCTAAGTGAAGTGGCTTGTCCATTCCTCTTTGCCTAATCAAATATGACATCTTCAAAGGCTTGGCTCAAGTTCCCTGTCCTTGAAGCTTTTCCTCCTCTGAGCTACTGATGTCTTAAGAGTCATTAACTCATATGGCGGTTGAGCAAATAAAGGAATCACTAAATACTGGATATAGCTACTAGTATATTCAAAGTCATATAAAGCCTGAATTGAGGAAAAAGATTACCTCCCAAGAATCTTTTTCTTCTTCTGAACTTGACGCAGGAACAATTTCATCTGAATATATATATTTACTTGTATTTGGATTTAATTCCCCTTCTGAAGATAATTTTTGTACTGGGGACAAATTAATCTATATTTCATTGAAAAAGCAACACAAAAAAAATTGTTAACTTGAATTATAAACATGATTTTAAGTAATTTCTCTACTATATTTCCAACATACCTTTCTTCTATACATTGTAACACTTTAGCTACCTAGCAACCACATTGATTTATAAGACTCCCAGTAACCAGAAGGAAGCCAAAATAGACATTAGAACTATTAGATGTGCTTGAGTTAATATATTTTCCAACACTACCCTAGTTCAGGCTCTCATCACAAATCTCTTATACCACTGCAATAACCTCATAATTTCCCCCCTCCCTTCTCAAACCTTTTTCTCTCTTCCTGCTATCTTCCACATAGCTGCTAACATGACCATGTCACTCCCCTCCCTGTCCAATACACTCCAGTGGCTCCTTATTGTCTCCAGGATTATAAATCGTCTTTTTAGAAAAGCTCTTCACAATCTGACCCCAGCCCACTTTTCCGGAATTGATGTATGTATGTTACCTTCCCTTCACGCCTCTACTTTCCGGCCAAATTGGTCTATTTCTTGTAAATGACATTTCACCTTCTGCCTCTTTGAATCCCAGTTCAGCTTAAAGTACTACTTCCTTTATAAATCTGTTCACTCACAAGTACCCGTGTCCTCTTAAAATTATTCTATATTTATTTATATGGGTATATACTGTTTCTGTTGATAGAATATAAATGCTTAGAAAGCAAGGACTATTTATATAAAAATATAGTATTTAAATTTGTTTTTCTAGTACCTAGCAGAATGCTGGGCACAAAACAGACAAGTAATTGACAGATTACTTTCACCTTAAGAAAGCACTTACTCAGAGTCTACCAATTTTTACTTTACACATAATTATTTGGTTTCCAAAGCTGCAGCAGATTAGAAGCAGAACACTGGAGGGATGAGGGATACCCAGTGGTGGCAAATATGTTAACAACTAGGAAACAGAAAAGGAGGGAAAAACAACTATACAATTCAAAGATGAGAAGAGCCTTAAGTTTTGAGGACATCATTGTTGTGCCACAGCATAGTATAATAATGAATGTTCATAATGATGGTCATGAATAGAGTGCTTGAAGTCTAAGATGTAGGACATGATGAATATATTTAAGGAAGATGTCCATCAAAAATGGTTAAAAACAAGATTTAACACTTAAAAGGACAAACCCTTGGCCATTTAGAACACTCTCCTCTCCAAAATAATATATCCCTGGGGGCTGCTAGGTGGAGCAGTGGATAGAGCTCTGGCCTTGGAGTCAGGAGTACTTGAGTTCAAATCTGGCTTCAGACTCTTGACACTTACTAGCTGTGTGACTCTGGGCAAGTTACTTAACCCTGATTGCCTCACCAAAAAAAAGAATTATATGTGTGTGTGTGTGTACACATACACACACACACACACACACACACACACACACGTATGTCCCTAGAGGGTTCCAGATTGCCATGGTTTTACTTACATGCCCTTTCCCATCCAGTTTCTGCTTAAGTGTTGTGGTTTGTTAAATATACTAGACTCGGCTAAAAACGTCACACTTGTTTTAGAAATTTATAATTGGGAATTTGGCCTAATGTATGTCAAGGAGTAAGGTGAATAGTTCCTGTAATACAATGCATGGCATAGTACTTGCCAGAGCATCCCACATATGACCAATGTGGGACATGACACAGAACTAGTGAGCTGAAGGGACACTGGATTGCCTTGACATGAATGCCAACAAATACAGCTTTGTTGAGTGTCAAAACCTGGTCTGAACCCCTAAATTGTAGGCTGGAAGCACAGGCTTTTATGAGAGTGCACTTCAGACATTTCCACTGATCCGTAGCTGGTCTGGGAGATCTCCCAATTTGAAGAACCTTATTTTCTGTCTACCAAATAGGGAAGATTGCTTTCAGAACTGCCTATATGCTTGTTTAACTAAGAACACTTCCGTGAACATTGGATGAAACTGGAATACAAACACATTTTTCAGTCATTCCTAATCTAATATGCCTCCTTTATTCAACCAACATTTGCTACTATGCACAAGTCATTAGAGTTCCCCATTGTGAAGTTCTAGTGTCAACTGCATATTCACAGTGTTGGAAGTGAATATGAATCAGACCTTGGAACTGATGTCATCTTTGAGTTTTGTGGATATGACATTCCCCAGGTCCAGGGGGGCCTTAAAGGCCCATGGCCAGACTCATCCCAGTGACAGAGCATATCTCATTGTGGCACACTATGTGACAGACCATAAAAGCATCTTTGGGAAGACCATCTAGTTATACTGTAAACAGTTTATGTGTACATGGTTACTTGTATGTTGACTCCCTCATTAGAATGTGACTTCCAGGAGAACAGGACCTCTGTTTTTTATCTTTCTTATATGTTCAGTACTTAGCACAGTGCCTGGCAAACATATAGTAAGCGTTTAATAAATGTTCACTAAGTGACTCACTTTTATTTTTTGAGGATGCACAGGGAATTGTTGGAGCATTTTAATGTTTGCTGTAAAATTCTATTTGATTCAATTGCTCCATCAGGCGCTATGTCTAACAATTAAACGTTGCTTATCGAATTATATTTACTTGTCATTGAAAGTTAGATAAAAACATACCAATCAAAAGAGTGAACCATTTTCTAGTGGAACATGAACTTTGGTATCACTACAAGGGAACCAAAAGCACCCTATTTTATCTTCTTTATTTAAAGTTTCTGTAGCTTATCATTTGAGCAAAACATGAATGTTATTCTCAAGAGCTGAGAAAAGGAACCTTATTTAACCTAATTTGAAAATAATCAGGTTACAATATAATTTTAAAATCTGGTGAAATTTAAAAATGATTATGGCATGGATTCAATAATCCATGGGATCACTACCATTTCGTCCCTCTGAAACTTACCTCAAACTTGCCTGTCTCTGCTGATGGAGAGCTTGTCAGAAATCCTCTATTTTTCTTACCAGCGGAGACAGAGGAATTTGTTTGCTATAAGGACAACAAACAAACACACTAAAAAAACCACCACCACCACACACACATACATGTTTATGTATACATGCGTGTGTGTGTGTGCGCGCGCATGTGTGTATGTATAAATAAATAAAAAAGGACTCCGCCCTGGGGCTCCTCTCCTAATGGATGAGGAGGCCTCCGTGGGTCCCCGGGGCTTGTGCTTGTTTCACTCCCCGCTTACTCTCTCTATGGATTGCTTTATCTCCTCAGCTTCCTGGACTCCCTCAGGATGACTCTATCCTGAGACACGCTTTCCTGATAGACAAATCCCAGTCAGTTTTTCCATTTCTTGAGGTGTCTCAGTCTCACTCCCTTCGTTCCCAGATCATTCACTCTCTAGAATGCTTACTTTTTCAGCTGCTTTACCCATTTGTGCAAGTACCTTCTACTCAAATTTCCATCTCCTTAATACAATCTTCAATTAGGATGTAAATTCCTTGACAGCAGGGACCATACTTTTTTTTTTTTAATTTGTAGCCCAGGGCTTACCATAGTGCCTGACACTCAGTATAGGCTTAATCAATTCTCCCTGTTCTGTTCCCTCTTCCTTTCTCTCCCTTTCTCTTCTCCCCATTTTTGTCTCCATAATGAATTTCAGAAAAAAAAGATACTTTAGCACCAACAGTAAAAACAATCTCTTGGTATAAGCATAAGAATAGAGCACAAACAAATAATAATAATAATAATAATAGAGTCTGTGACCCTAAACTAAATTTTAAGACTTTTAGTCAAGTTGATGAAATAAAACTTATTTTTGCTATGGATTAAGTCAAACTTAGTACTCTGAAGAGAATCATATGGCACAGCAGGTATATGACAACGAATGGATGAAATTCCTTGTTGGTTTGAGAGGAAAAGTGATAAGACTTTTGATTATTAAATAACTGCATTTTAGCAATTTCTGTTCAATTAATTTCTCTTAGTTTGTTATTTTTTGTTATATTAAAGTAACTTTTCTAAGCAAATAGTTCAGAAATCATATTTCCTAATTGGTGAGTTCCTCCATCTCTTAGTAATTTGAAATCTATAATTATATGAGGCTCAAAATACTTTACTTTGAAGAAATTTATTTTATGGTATTTTGAAATTAAAGAAGTGAAAGTAGGGCACATTCATTTTACATCACCCAATGAGGCAAATCAGGCAAACAATCATGGAGTAGATGAATGTATCTACTGGCAGGGTAGAATTTTACAGTTTGACTAGTAAGGATTGTAAATTTCTATGCCACAATGAAAGAAGGTCAATTCTGAATACGGTATTCTTTAATTACTGAAGAAATTCCCATCTTTTGGAAAGGGTGATTTGGGATAGCTGGCAAGACTACCAGAAATCAGGTAAGAGTGTTACATTTAGAAAGGACATAGTAAAGCACTTCAAATACAGTAATTTTTTTTTTTTTGCATAGTCTTGAATGACAGATTTTCAGCAGACATTGCTCACCACCCTTTCCTCAAGGACAACAAAAATTTTAAATTAACCTACTGTGGACTTTTCACTGAAGATAACATCTATATTAATAAGTAAATAGCAATTTATGTAAAAGTAAAAGTAGTGTTATGGACAACTTTGCTAGAGTGCATCTCTTTCATAAAGTAATGAACACCTATGATCTCAATTTTAATGAAGAAACGGAGATGAATTCACACTTGGGGATTTAAGGCACCCAGTGCTCCTTTCCTCCTAATTTTCTAATGGAGTTCATAAGAATTTCTGGGGTTTCTTTATTACAGAATTCTTAGCTATAACACTATGTAAAAAATATTTCAAACAACATCTCAACAATGTAGGTGACTATCTCAAATAATTTACTTAAAAATGGGAGGAGAGAAATAAGATGTTAGATAGCAGGGATGGTCAGATCAAGTAAGGATTTTTTTTAACAACAGATAGATATGGGTGTGGTTTTTAGGAAATGAAGAAGCAGACAGTAAACAAGAAGAGTTAGAAGAGTGAGAATAACAGTTGTGGCAATTTGTTAGCGAAAATAAGATGAAAGGATCATGCAGAGGGGTTTGCCTTAAAAAGCAGAAGGGCTAACTCTTCATTTGAGAGAGGGGTGAAGGAGAAATTAGTGGGAAAGATGTCAGACTGATGTGTTATAAGGAGAGAAGAAAGAACTTCTGGTGAATGGCCTCACTTTTCCTATGAAGTATGAAGCAAGATGCTCAGCTGAGAGGGTGCAGATTTCTACACATGACATCATGAAGTGATACAGCAATATATGCAGACTAAGAAATGTGAGGCTCCCTGAAAAAAAAAAATGACACCACTTGAACTATTGCTACTTTTACTTAAAGCTGAGAAACACTTTAAGACTGCTTTCAAGAATGTTCTATTTCAAAAGCTGTGTGACCCTGGGCAAGTCACTTAACCCTGACTGCCTCACCAAAAAGGAGTTTACAATCTAATGAGGGAGACAATATGCAAACAAATACATACAAAATGAGCTATATACAGGATAAATAGGAAATAATTAGAAGAGTGAAGGTCCTGGAATGAAGAATACCAGGGGCAACTCTTCCTCTTCCTTGCCTTTTTCCTCCTTTCCCTTCCCAGCTGGATAATTGCCTTCTTATCCCCATCACCTCACAGGCAATCTGTAGCTCCTACTCCACTCTAAACCTTGCGTCCAATACTCTTTCCCCACAGATCTGGGCTGGGTCCTGAAAGCCTATTCCCAAAATTCAACAGGGCAGAAATGGTCATTCACACAACTTTGAGGAAGAGGGAGTCACCAAGAAAAATCCTTCCAGTAAGATGGAAGACAACTAGACTCTATTATCGGCCTTGCTACTACCTCCTCTGGCCAATGAGGCTTTACCACCTGCCTCACTGACTCACCCTTAAGATCTCTTAGGCATTGCCATTTGACATATCCATACACCCTAAGGACTCCTGGGCGCTGCCATCCACGTGGTAGCTGAAGCCTCCTCTGTGTGTTGTTTCTCCCAATACGAATGTGATCCTTATTTCTCAACTTTCTCTTTGTATCCCTAATACTTAGCACATTGTAAGCATTTACTAAACATTTTTCATTCATTCCTTTGTTCGCATTTGTCTTCTCGTATAACCACCACCCAGCCTCTGGTCCTCATCACCTCTCACTTAGACTATCACCATAACCTCTTACTTGGTTTTCCTACTTCAAATCTCTCCAATCTAATCCCCAGATAGAGGCCAAGGTAATATTTCTAGAGTATAGATGTGACACTGCTCAATAAGCTCTAGGGTTTTGGGAGAGTTTTTTTGGACGTAATCAGGGTTAAGTGACTTGCCCAGGGTCACACAGCTAGTAAGTGTCAAGTGTCTGAGACTGGATTTGAACTCAGGTCCTCCTGACTCTAGGGCAAGTGATCTATCTGCTGCGCCACCTAGCTGGCCCGCTCAATAAGCTCTAATAGGTCCCCTTGCCTCCATTACAAAAGACTTAACTCTTCTTTCTGGCTTTTAAAGCCCTTCACAGTCTGGCTCCAGTCTACCATTATAGACTTACTCTACTTTACTATTCTCTATATATTCTATATTCCAGACAAACTGGCCTACTTTCTGTTCGTCATATACATTTCATCTCCTGTCCCTGTGGCTTTGCAGAGGCAGGATCCCGTGAGAAAGCAATGAGAGACACACACACAATAAGTATTTCCTTTTCACCTCTATCTCACAATATCTCCAGCTTCCTTTAAGGCTCAGCTTAAGTGTTACTTCTTACATGAGGTCTATATGATTCTCCTAGTAGCTTGTACCCTCCTCTACTGGCAATTATTTTGCATCTACTCTTCTGTGTACATGTTGTTTTCCCTCAACAGCATGTAAGTTCATTAGCAAAGGCTAATGAACATTTTTTTCTTTGTATCTCCAGAACTTAGGCAAAGTGCCAAGTACTTGCTGGGTGAATGAATTTACATAATGAATAGTTTACACAATTATTAATGGATTAAACCAGTCAACTTTGCATATTTAAAAAATACATGAAGCAGTTTGTATACAGACATAATAAAAAGCTATTCCTAAAAAAAAAAAAAAGCTGTTTCTTACCTTAAAACTATAAGGGGCTTTTTGGGTGTGCGCAACTTTTACCTACATTTCTCAAAGCAGTACTTTCATACTTTTAACATCTAAAAAACCAAAACCCCAGTGGGGCACTGTGAGGCTAGAGTTCTCATCTAGGGAAACTGCTCTCCTTGAAGGAAGAGGTACTTAATTAATAGTTTAAATGAAAACAATTACTCACTACTACAGTATATTTCCCCAAAGTATACATGCTCTAAAGAGCACTTCCTTCTCTTCCTTTCCACTTAGATAGCTACTATTCCAGTCCAAATCCTTTTAGATTACCAAATAGCCATCTGGTTTCCTGCTCCCCTCACTCCCTCTACTAATACCCCACCGTCTTTCTAAAATATTCCTTTAAACAATTTACTCCTCTGATTACAGTGATAATGACTCCTGATTATAAAGTCCAAATTTTTCCTTCAAGGTCTTCTATGATAGTCCTACTATTCATAGCCAATCTTGTCTCCTACAACTCAATTCAAGATACATTTATTAGGTGTCTAATACTCACAAGGCATTATTATATGTACTGAGGATACAAAGGCAAAATTTAAAATGTAAGCTTCCCGAGATAGGGAACATTAGGAAGCAGAGGGCATGTACACAGAGAAGTGTAATTCAAGAGAGAATGTGATAGGAAGCAGTCACCACACACACACACACACACACACACACACACACACACACACACACACGTGCTTTAGAAATATTTGAAAGGTTAATAAGAAACCGCTGCCCCTGCCCTAGTCTTATCTAGCAAAGGTTACAGAACACTGCTTTAAGATAAAGTAATAATAAGGGGCAGCTAGGTGGCGAAATGGATAGAACACTAGCCCTAAAGTCAAGAGGACCCGAGTTCAAATGCGGCCTCAGACCAAACACTTGACACTTACTAGCTGTGTGACCCTGGGCAAGTCACTTAACCCCAACTGCTTAAAAAAGAAAAAAAAAGATAAAAATAATAATAAACAAATTGTGAAATTCTCTGAGCTTTTATTGCTTTTTAAATTGTAAATGTATGTATTCATATTGTACAATATATTAAATGGAAAGAGGGCAATGCAAAATTGAACAACTCTGTTGTTTGTCTACAGAAAAGTTGTGAATCACAGATTTAAAGAATTGAAAAATATTTTCCTAAATAAATCCTGCTTTAGTACTTCATTAGTTTTCCACATCTCAGTAGTTACTTTTTTCTTCGTTCTAAAAGAACTTACCTTGGTCTTGACTTCTGGAGTTTTTTCTCTTTCAGGCAAAATTTTACAAGTGGAATTATCTGTAAATTTAAAAAAATCAATCTCAGTATTAGTCTGGTTACTAATGTGTAAATTAACAAAAATTTATTAAGCACTCATTGTGTGCCAAGCATTCTGGTAAATGCTGTGGACAGAATGGAAAGCAAAAAGTCTGTCCTCAAGGAGACTACATTCTAATGGGGGAGAGATTGTCTAAATAAGTATGTACATAGAAGCTATATAACAGTTTAAATGGAAGGTAGTATCAGAGGGAAAACATTAGGAATGTGTACATGTATGTGGGTGGGAACAGAGAGGGGAAAGGCTAGGAAAGGTCTCCTGAAGAAGGTAGGATTTAAGCTGAATCTTTAAGGATGCTAGGAGGAAGAGCTCAGGAGGGAGAGCATTCCAGACAGCCAATGTAAATGTATGGAGCTGGGAGAGGGAAGGTTGATATGGGAAACAGCAAAAAAACAAATGTTGCTGGATCACAAAGTACGTGGAGAGGATGGAAAGTGCAAGAAAACTAGAAAGTATTTGGAAGAGCTTTAAAAGCCAAATAGAGGGGTTTTTATTTGTTCCTAGAGGTAAAGGGGAGAAACTGAAATTTATTGAGCAGGGGAGTGACATGGTTAAACATGTGCATTAGTTTGATAGCTAAATGAAGAACTGACGAGACTTGAGACAAAAAAGAACAACCAGAACACTACTGCAATAGTCCAGATGCGAGGTGATAAGTGTCTGCACCAGGAATGGAGACACAGAAGATATGTGAAGGTAGAAACAAGATGTGGTAGCATACTGGACACGTGGGGTGGGAAGTTGAAGATGATACTGATAGTGAGAGCCTCAGCAAGTGGGAGGATTTAGCATATTTAATAGCAGCAGTATTTATCAAATACCTATGATAGAACTAAAGTAGAGACAAAGGTGAAAGAGCTTCCTGTCTCATAAGCTATTTCCCAAAGAAGTCAAAGGAACATGGAGCAGGTATGTTTGTATCTTTGCTAGTATCTTTGCTATTGTTGATTTTATTTTGTTTGCTTTACTAGCACATCAATTGGGCAACATTTTTTTAAAAGTTAAATCTTTTTTTCAATCAATAAAAATATGCCTTCCTTTCCTCCTCTTTTTCCCAACTGAGAAAGAAAAACAAAACTCCTGTTATAAACATGTATACCCGAGCAAGACAAACTCCTACATTGGCTATCTTAAAAAAGTCTTAATCTGCATCCTGAGTCCATTACATCTCTGTCATGAAGTAAGCAGTATATTTCATCACGAGTTCTCTAGAAACATTACTGGTTATTCCATTTAACAGAATTCATACGTTTTTGAAAACTGTTCTGTCTTTACATGATTGTTATCACTGTATAAACCATTCTCCTGATTCTATTCACCTCACTCTGCATTAGTTCATAGAAGTCTTCCTAGGTTTCTCTGAAACCCTTTCATAACTTTTTTATACTACAACAGTACTCTAGCATATAACTTGTTCAGGAAAGAGTGCAAAAAGTGAAAACTTGTGATAAATTTCCAAAGTCTTCAGAAATATTTTCTCTCTCACCAAGATAAAGTAAATAATAAACAAACTGTGAAATTCTCTGAGATTTTATTCCTTTTAAAATTGTAAATGTATGTATTCATATCATACAGTATAAGAAATGGAAAGAGGGCAATGGAAAATTGAACAATTTTGGGGAGGCAGACAAGAGATAGAGATAAGAGGAAGGGCAATCTTACTCCCCCAATCTGGAGGAATTTATGGCACTGTGAACTAATTACAGAACTAAATTTTTGACTGAAATGTAAGTTCGCAACTGAAAATTTTCAAATTGTGGCTTGAATGTTCTTATAAATGTGGAAATGTTTGACAGTAGCAGTATTTGTCAAATGCCTATAATAGAACTAGGGTAGAGACAAAGGTGAAAGAGATTCCTGTCTCATAAGTTATTTCCCAAAGAAGTAAAAGATACATGGCTTAGGATTTCTAGACTTTTGTTATGGTTGATGCTTTTTGCTTGTTTTATTGGCATATATCAAATGGGCAACATTTTTGAGGTTTTGAGGTACTACTCTGTAGAATGTTTTAAGGAAAAATAAAATTATGGGAAAGTTACACAGGAGCAGTGCTTAGACCTTTTTTTTAAGACTACTCTTTTGGGGGCAGCTAGGTGGCGCAGTGGATAGAACACTGGCCCTGAAGTCAGGAGGACCTGAATTCAAATGTGACCTGAGACTCAATACTTGACACTTTACTAGCTGTGTGACCCTGGGCAAGTCACTTAACCCCAACTGCCTAAAAAAAAAAAGACTACTCTTCCGATGGAGAGTGAGACATTCATTGTTAATATAAGGGATGTCAATTTCCAGAGTTTGCTCTAAGAAAGATAAATAGAATTATGTTGTATGCATGTTTATTTTCTTTCAAAGTGGCAGGCATGCATTCGGAGCCACTGTTAGGGCTGAGCTCTCTTTGGGGCTAGGCTGCACAGATTATAAAGACAAAAAGAAATCACAAAGATGGGTGAGAACTGCTATGCCATGGCCCAATCAGGTACTGCCATAGTCCTTTGAGGTCAGCTTCCATTTCCTAGGGACAGGCCATTTCACAGAGATAATGATATGCCTACGTGGAACAAGGAAGAAGATAAGACTGAAAAGTCCTCAAGGTCTTGGAACTAGGACGCTTGTGCTAGTTCTATTAGAGCTGATATAAACTAGCTTAACTCAGTTTTATGGTTGCCAGCACAGCAGAAGGATTTCCAGGTTTAGCAAGTGAACACTGCAAAGGATCTCTAGTATGTTAAACTTAAAGGATGTTCATCTGGGTACAACCACTATAAAACTAAGGCCCTGGAGGAAGGTGGCATTTCAGATCATGAGGGAGAGCTGAGGTCCACTTCACTAGTGGGGGCTATGGACCCTTTAATAAAGTGCTATTGGCCTGGAGCTTTGCCTTAGTTTCTTTTATTATAGATTGGGCAATTCTGGATCCCCCAAAATCAGTAAAAATGCCAAGAGATAAAATGAATTATTTTCCATGCAAGATAATTTGGAAATGCATTCAAGTGAATTAATGTCATCTGCCTGGTTATAAGTTTTATTTTATGTTTTAAATTCATGATACTGTATGTCACTGTGTTTCTAAAAATTTTCTTATATTGTGAAATTTGGGAAACCACCATATCAGAAATACTGTTAGAAAAGTAACTTCTCTTTTAATCTGGCTGATGTCAGATGTGAGCTGTTAAAAGAATGTGGTAAAAATGTTTGAAAACTTGAAAGTTTTATAGGGTATATTTGCTTTAAAATGGATAACAATAATAATAATAATAATTCACCATTGGGAGAAAAAATAGTAAAATCCTGTTCAAATTATCTTTATCTGTGAGGTTCTTTTTTACTTGGGCAAGGTCATAAGATCTTATCAACCCTACTGAGTGTGATAAAGTTCTAAAGTACTAAAGTTTAAGAAACTAGGACCTCTGTCAGCCAAAGTGAGAAAATTTACAAGTTTGCTTGTAGTGAGGAGTAAGTTTCATCTGACAGATTGACTACCACCTATGAAAATTATTAAATTCTACCTGTTAATAAATAGTCTGTATTGAAGTTACATCTTTGGGCTGACTTAGTAACAACAGACCTTAGATTCAAACACTCCTTTATGCCTCAGGGGTTAACAGGTAGTACAAAATTGAAGACTTTCTATAGACAGCATTTTTCTGGGGTTTAGAGTCACTTATCATGTATTCATTGCATGTGTGAAACTCCAGAATGTGATTATTCTTAAATTTTAACTGAAGGACAAATAAGATGTCCTTATATGCACTCATCATTAATTATATGTAACACAAGAAAAAAAGCTAACCTGGCCAAGCTATGATTAGTGAAATTTTGCTACAGTGGAGTAAAATCTCATGGGCTGCAACTTAGTATCATTCTAAGTTTTGACTTCAGGTGTGGTTGTCTAACATGTCATTAAGCCAATAGCCTACCATTCAAGGGGAATGCATTGTGCTGCCCAACTGCTAGTGTTGGATATCTGTATCTGGGAAAATTGAAGGGATAGCCTTGCATAGGCAAAAGGAAGGAGCTCCTTAACTCAATTTCTCCATTGTGCTATTTTCCTTTCTGAACAGAAAATTTTCCCACCTGGTTAATTCTGAGCCTGGCTATGATATCTTGTGAATAATGTGGAACTTTGCTGTGTGATTGGCTGTTAACTATGACTCATGCCTAAAATTAAACAGAGCTAAGAGGAGTTTTCTCTTGTTATAGATTAGGTTAGGTTAGTCTGTGTCCTTGAGGGGACAGTCTTGATATCATTATAACCATAACCTTTAATTTCTATAATCAGAGAAGGTGAATTGTAGAAGTTTTCTTTTTGCAATACTAAAACATCTCTGAGTAACTATACTAGGATGCAAGTATGAAAGAACTTACTGTTTTCAATCTGAATTTGTAGTTAATGCCATATTTTAAGCAAATAAGTTAATGAGTTATTGAACTTGTCATTCACTTGTTAATAGTTATATAGTCATGTATAAGATTAGGTGCTTGAAGGAGTGTATGGGGTGTTCAGGGAGTACTAGTACCTGTGGTGTGAGGGCTGAGTAGATGCAGTAATGTGGGGTACTATGAACCTGGTACAGGTTTTACAATCAAATCTAGTCAACAAGCTTGTATGCCTCCCCAAAGTAGCAAATGACAGGCTCATGACAATATGATTGCCACTTGCAGAAGTGCTTATGCCACCATCATCAGTGCATATGCTCTCACCACGATGAACCCAGATGAAATCAAAGAAAAATTTTATAAAGCAGACCCTCATTATAAATGTGCCAAAAGAGGACAAGTTTGTAATTGTGAGTGAATTTAACATGAGAGTAGGCACAGACTATCAGATATGGCAGGGAGTACTTGACAGGAATGGAGTCAGAAACAGCAAAGGTAATGGTCATTTACTACTGAAGACTTATATATTTCATGACCTTCTCATCACCAATAGTCTTCTGTTTACCTAAATGCAATAAAACTT